AAAATCCTCTCTTCTTAATCCACCACTTCAATGAGGGTCGTCTCGTAGTCGCTTGGTGCCTCAAATCCATGGAGATTGATCATAGTTGCGGCAACATTTGCAAGTCCACCGGTAGGAACATCACTGCGGAACCTCACTCCAGGTGCCAATCCTGGGCCGCCGATTGCAATTGGAACCTACACAAGGAAACCGAAGATTTCTGTCAGACTCAATATTCTTTCAAGACATTCATTCATTCATTCATGACCTGAGACTTACAGGCTGGAGAGTGTGGGAGGTCAGGATTTGGACTTTGCCATTCTTGTCAAGCTGAGGCTTTCCAGATTTGTCCCTCTTAACCATGTCCTCAGCGTTTCCGTGATCTGCTGTGACCACGAAAATTCCACCAACTTGCTCGATTGCATCAATCATTATCTGCCACATGAAAAGTTACCCATGCAGTGCAAGTAATCAGCCACCAGAACTATGATCCACGAAATAATCAGAGCACTAAAGCAAGTAGACAAACTAACTAGTAGGTAATTTGATCATGGTCATATGAGGTTACACAGCAAGACTTCTTACCTTGACAGCTTCATCAGCAGCCTTGCAACTAACAACTGTAGCTTCAACATCTCCAGTATGTCCCACCATGTCTCCATTTGGTATGTTAACACGAACCTAAATAGATTCAGGAGAAGGATGAGATACGTTGACGAGAAGTATAAATAAATACATTAATCAGAAAATAATGATTCAAGCACACCGAACTATTTTACCTGATGGAATTTCCCGCTGAGGATAGCATCCCGAGCCTTCTCTGCAATCTCCAATGCTTTCATCTTCGGTTGTACGTTGAATGTGATCCCAACATCACTTGGAATCTCAACGTATTCTTCCATTTCTGGATTGAAACAACCTGAGCGGTTTCCATTCCAGAAGAAAGTAACATGACCAAACTTGACGGTCTCACTGTTGAGAAAATGTGTCCAAACCAAAAAGCCTTCAAATTAGTGAAAACATACTGAAATATCACTTAAACTACTGTAGATAGTTAATGCTTGCAAGGAAATCATTGTAGTAAATATTATGGAAATTAAACATGTCTTACCAACCATCTCACCTGCAGGCAAATGTTTTAACACCATTGTGCACCAAATATTCACCAGAAGTCCTCTCTATCTCGGGAGGAGACACAAGGTAATGACTTGGAAGCATCAACTCGCCATCATACTGGAGCATACCAGCATAATTAATCTTAGGAACTCTCACACGATCAAATTTGTCAAAGTCCTTATACTCGAGTGCCTTTGCAAGCATAGTCATACGGTCGGCACGGAAATTGAATGTGACAACTGCATCACCATCAACAATTGGACCCACAGCCTTGCCACTGTCATCAACTATAACAAAAGGAGGCAAATACTGGTCATTGGCCTTGGGAGTTTCCCTCAGCTTCTTCACAGCTTCTATTGCACTCTTAAACTTGTGAGGTGCTTCACCAAGAACTTGGGCATCCCACCCTCGTTTCACAACACTCCAGTCATTCTGCAGCAAATTTCAAATAACTTTAAAGACACAAATAAAAAAATTGTAATATCAAATCACCCAAGATAAGCTCTCACAACAACAAAGTCTCTAACCATCCACTAGGCATTTAACACTCCCAGTATCAAGATGCTCCCAAGACAATTGTATTTATCGTTTTCGATGGAAGTGGTTGGTATTCTAAGCAGGTAAGAGTAAGACTATGCAAATCGGTGGATGAAACTGAAGCTCACTGTAACAGCGTACACCCAACAAGACAAGACTCACCTACCTTCTTTGGAACAACCCACCCCTAGGCCCTAACACATTTCAAAGTATACAGAACATAAAGCATAACAGAACAGAAGCTTAACAAACTGAAGCAATCCCTAAAATAAGCTTAAGTAAAACACATAGGTCTACTTGATAGAAGGCAGTACCGAATAAAGATCAATAGTCACATTTGAAAACTATCACTAAACTAAACTAAAGGTATGCATATAGGTCTCAACTTGATAGAAAGCAATACCTCGTAACGATCCATTGTCACATACATGCGACCTCCACCCGATGCAATCAGTGCGTCAACACCATTCTCCCTTAGTTTGGCAAGATCATTCTCAAGGGTTTCTACAAAGCCAACACTTGTACCATCTATCACATCACGTCCATCAGTAAGAATGTGAAGGCGAATCCTTTTGGCACCACGCTCAGCGGCACCTTTAAGCAACAGCTGCACCACAAGCAAAGTAAAGGGAGAATAATGAGTAATCTCAACAGAAAAGAACAAACCAGTTACAAAAATTATGAACAAGTCCTAGACAGCTAAAAACTCACCTGCACTTGATCAAGCCTGGAGTGAACTCCACCATCACTCAGTAACCCAATGAGGTGCAGTGTTCCCTTATCAAAGGATTGCTTGATATACTTGAAACCCTCCCCATCATAAAGCTTTCCGGATTCCAAGGCAAAATCAACAAGCTTGGCACTGCAATCATTCAGCACAGCAGAAATAAATTCCCATTCAAGGCAGATCCCAACAAATTCCAAAACAAGGGCAGCAACAACAACAAAACGTCGACAACATTGAGCTTTCACTGTTGCTGCTTTCCACCATTCAGCAGATAACATGAACATACAGCTACCAGCAGCTCTGTGAAACACATCAAACGAGAAAAAAGCCATTCATCCGACCCAATATGGAGAAAGGAAAGTTACCCTTGAGCATAGATGCGCCCAGCTCCAAGAGCATTGTGACCAACTTCACTGTTGCCCATGTCATCCTCGCTAGGTAGACCCACTGCAGTTCCATGGGCCTTAATCAATCTCCACTTCTCGGGAGCAGTCTGTAAAAGCAATAAACAAAGCTTCAGATGCGACTCGTGAACTAGATAGCACAACAGGGAAACAAAAAAAGGAGAAGAAGATACAGAGAGTGAGAGAGGAAGACCGTCTTGAAGGAATCCATGGTAGGAGTCTCAGCAGTATGGATACAGTTGTAGGGATCGGGGCTAGCCTCACCCCATCCATCCAAAACAATCAGGGCTATCGTCTTCCCCTTCGGCAGCTTCGGATGATTCGCCAGCTGAAATGTGTTCGCGCCGGAGCTACCCATCTTCCTGCTTGATCGACGAACACACAAATCCGATCCAATCAAAACCCCAAATAAACCAAATTGAAATCAGAAAAAAGCAGAACAAAGGCGCTTAGGCAATATATATAAAGAGAGAAACAATGGCGCGGCGGTAGGTCAAAGGAGGGCTTGCTGACCTGCGATTGACAAGTGATAGGAACTGAGAAAGAACCGGAGAAGATTGCAGAGACCAAAAAGAAACAGCCGTCGATTAGTTTGAGGACGAAGGCAACTGGAGTAGCAGAGAAAAGGAACAGCGGGCCGTTTAAGTAGGCGATGCGTGGGGCGTGGGCAAAATAACAGATCTGGTTTCGTAAGAAAAAAATCTAAAGCGGTATTTCATCAACCCGTCACTCAATTTCGTTAGTATTACCAAATTGGTCCCTGAATTATAATCAAATAACCATTCGCTGTCTCCGTTTCCCCCTCTTCTTCTTTCTTCTTCTCAAACAATTTACCATTTTCAGCTGGTTTGGAACTTTAGAGTTTGGAGCTAGTTGTTGATTGTAGATTAGTCTCGTGATCAGAGAAAAACAGTGGGTGGCATGTCACATCCTCATCTAGCATTGTTAACTGTTCTAATATGTTTGAATCAATGAAGAACTAGATGGAATAAAAATTAAATGAAAAGTGAGGATCAAATTAACCAAAAAATACATATGATTCGATTCACAATCAATTTGATTCAATAGCCATTTTTAAAGTTAGTTGACTGCGAGCAATATTTGCAGCTCTCTAGTCCCATATTCAATGGTAGGTGGAGAGAGAAACCAATATCAATTAGATTCATTTTCCAATTAAAAAACCAAAAATCGAATGAATTATATATAATTCAATTGGTTCCAAATACTGATTAGGTCAAAAATTAGTCTGTCTTGAGTCTAATCATTGTTCATCCAATCCCTACTCATCATCTTTGTAATAAAATATGATTACCTAATTAATAGATTACATGGGTTACTGACATGTTTATCAGTTTTACTAATTTCTATATCGAACTCAATAAACACATTTATTTAGTTCTTTCTTCTCAACTATAAAGTTATCATTTGTTCTGTACTTCAAAATACTTTTCATTGCAATTAAAATTTCATCTGGGTTTAGCTAGGCTAAATCTAAAAAAAAAAAAAATAACACATGTACAACAAGTCAACAACTCATGTCATGTGGGAATATTCTCATGTCAAGCATTGTTCCTTGCCTTACGATAATTTTGAGGCAATTTAGTAGTGCTATTGGGGAAAGAGGGTGAATGAGAGAAATGGACAGAGGGAGAGTTTTGTAAGAAAACCCATCGGGGTTCTCAAGAGTAGCAAAATCAATCAGCAATTTTTAGATTCCATTGTAAGAAGAAAAAAGATCGAGGGGCTGGTGGAAATTATGCAGCCGGCCGCCGGTGTAAAATTCGTCGACGGCGGCGGGTTGTGGGCAGGTAAATGTCACGGGCCCACAGTTTCTGACGTGAGTGAGTTGGGTTGGGCCGGTTTGGCGTGGGGAAGGCATACCATCGCACACCAATGGAATTCCGGCGTGGGGAAGGGGCACAAAAAGCGTAACCACCCACGCGCGTCGTTTCTAGAAATATTTTGTATTTTCTTTTATTATTTCCTTCGCATCGGCTGACGAATATTCCAATTTACCAAACGAATACTTGTTTCCCGGACTAATTAGGTATTTGGGTTTGGGCCCTCTGTTATGCTCTTTTCTTTTGACAAACGACGAACGAGATATCACTTATCACCAGAGAAGTAAGGAGAATAGGCTCGATTGTTTCATTATGCGCATGGCTGGCCTATGGAAAAGTACTGAAACGAAGATTGACCAACTGATATTTAGACTAAATCGAACCAAACCAAATGGACCGAATTCAATGATGATTAAATTTTTTATTCTAAAATGTATTTCACTAATAGACCACCGTTCTCATTAGTTTGATCCTGTCCAAACCATTGCACATCCCTACGAGCTGGATTTTCACCCAACTCAACTCAGAAAATTATATTGAATTTTGAGATTTATGACTTGGTCTGTGTTTAACATTATTTTGGAGTCATAAGATCCTAAGTTGACCTTGTAGACAAACTTTTCCGGCCCAACTCAGTGGGTATCCCGGCCAGGCTTACAGACCTATAAATTATAATATACAACAGCAATATTACAAGGGAAAAGGACTGCAATTACAACTTCTAATCTAGCCACTAGCCAGTGCTTCCTGAAAGATCCCCAGAAAGTGCACTCCCATAAGACGTTGAACCCGTCTGTGAAGCCCCGGTGCCTATTCTGGCTTTCCGAATCTGCCTTAACCGGAAAACATCTTTGGGCACCGGCTGGCTTTGGACCGTCGAGCTCTCCTCTTCCTCTTGCCCTGCCATTATCACGAAATGAAGCTCATTCACTCTAAAAGAAGATCTGAAAGGCCAGCATAGCGCCTGCTGTTGTCAAACTTCCTACTAAGAAATCAAATATAAGCAGAGGATAGGAACTTACTGCCGAAATCCTTCCTCTTCCCAGACTGTCGTGGTCTGAACGATGAGCCGGTTGGAGCCTGGTGTGACCTGCTTGAACCAGAGAGGTCACTTGTGGCTGGCCCGGCCTGATGACTTCCTCCTCCCTTCCTACCTTTACCAGGACCTGCTGGAGCTGCTGATGGTGCCACTGTTTCGCTTTGTAGACAGATGGAAAGTATGATGTCGACATTTGGTGTTGGACCTAAGCACAGTTTTCAGCAACAAATTCGAAATCAAGCATGAATAAGAAACTGGAATCTGTACAAACTAAATTTCATATCGATTGATCAAGCAGTTCGTGCATCATATACATCTCCCGAACAAAATTTGAGGTCTCAGAATCACCTTCAACTATGGGTAAGTTTGCCAAAAAACGATAACAGTGCAGGTGGAGTAGCTTTCAACACTTCATCGAATGGACCAGTTGCTCCAGAACTGGCTAACGGGCCAACAGAATTGGACAATGCATTGGGTACCCCATTGAATCCAGCAACTGTCGTGCTCGCAACAGTTGTGTTATCCACTGGCACATAAATTATGTCATCATTGACAGCCATAATACGAACTTGAATCCAATCTTATGCAGAAAATCCGCTAAGCTAGGAATTCCGCTGCATCAGAATAGAACAGAAAAGGAAAAGCTGGAACCAGTAGCCTAGACTTGCTTTCCTACTAATAAGGTAACAGTTAAACCTCAATACATTCAGAGTTTAGATCGAGGATCATTTAAAAGTATTGCCAATGTATTTCTCCAGCAGTGTACTTTTCTTCCTACATGCAACTGGGAAAATAAATAGGATTTGCACGGAACGGGTTGATCATTCAGGAGGTCAAACTGCTTCAAGTTTGATTCCAACCGTTTGATCATGCTCCACAAATATGAATTTCAAAGTTCTCCAACAGCATTTGCTAACTCTCTATGGACCACAATAGACCTGAAATGCATACCAGGTTTTTGTCTTGAAGCCATCGTACGAGACGTATCTGAATCAACAAATTTCGTAGGTAAATTTGAATAACTGGGGAGATTTGGAGGGCCTCTCTCTATATTCGGAAAATGCAAATAATTGGAGTTAGAATAAAAGGAAGCACAAGGGAATCCCAGGAGAACAGTTCAAAGAGGTGAAAATATACCTCCTCCCCTGCTAGGTCCATTGGACACACCAGACTTCTTACCCATATGCTTAACAAGCCACTAGCAAAAGAGGAAACAAATTAAAACAAAATTATGAAGAATTACAGCTAAGGAAATACAAAGATAAAGTGTTCTGAAAGGAACATTCCTTGCATAATAATTTTAAACATCTTTCTCTTCAAAAGGATACATTTGGGCCCCCTCATCCTACGCTGTCTAGAGGAGATTTTGGTCACAATCCATCTGGTGAACACAATATCCTGATTTTGATGATGGAAAGCTACACGGGACTTGTTAGAATGACTAATTATCCAAAATTTATCACTTAATGGATTGTTGGTATCTCTTTCTAAGGGGAGAGGAGAGATTGTAAGTCCATCATTACCGTACACCATAATACTTATTTCAAAACTACAAGGGACCACCACTCAATTATTCACGCCATAGAATCACTCATCCAAACGAAAAATCTTCACAGTCTCTACATCCTAAATTTTACAATTTTCAATTAATCCATTCTAGAGATCTATCACCCCAAGTGATCTCTTACAAGGATTTACTTCACCAACTCCCCCATCCCCCTCTCTTCCACCATACATCTTGGCTTATATTACTCTACATTATGCAAAGTCAACTTGCATTTTAAATTCTCAACACAATTTCTTGCTGATATATAATCTCAAATTCTTAAACCTAGCACAAAAATAAATAAAAAGAGTGAAGCGGAGCGGATCTGTATGAGTATTCCCTTTTTGGCCTTTTATTTGATTACCAGCGTACTAAACATGATAGTGAAACACCACAATAAATGGGAAGGAATGTTGCAGCTTCATCATGGTTTCCATATAGCACAAACAAGTAACCAAGAATGAACAGGCAGTAGTGGACTATGAAAGGGCAGAGCCTATTTATTTCTCTTCTGTCTCGAGCTTATGGGCTAAGGGGACTAATTCAAGTCCTTAACATATACACGGTATAGTGGCAAGTGGAATAGCTTCACAAACCTGCATTTCCAGCCCTAGAAAATGTCTATATTCGCCTAAGTACAAAGAAAGGATAGAGCATCTACCGCCAACTAAAGATACACAATACATAATTTTTCATCATAGAAAGTTGGATAATGGACTACAATTTAGTCTCACATGCAGAACATTCAAAGGAGAATGATGCTTATTGAATGTACCTCTTGTCGGGCTAGCTGATCCAAATCCTTTGTGGAGCATGGATAAAGATCCATAAAACTATAACGTGACACAACTTCTTCTAATGAATCCTCTAAAACTGATCCTGGATCCTCATCTATACTTGAAAAGGCTTCTTTTCGTCTTTGCTCAACCTATAATAAAAGCAATACAAACAGTGGTCACGGATAAAAGAAATAGCATGAAAGCTAGTGCACCATCACTAGTAAACAACGCAATTCCCATAGTACTTGCTACATGTGATAGAGAAGGTTAATTACAAACCCCTCTTGGACTTGAATATTAGCTCTGTTCGTGTCTGTCCATTAGTTTCCCAATCTTAAAAGAGTCACCAAAGGACAGCTTGGCATATTGGTTCGCAGAGAGCAGAAAAGTGAAATAAGAAGCAACTCACAATAAAACCAAACAGATATACATCACTTTCAGTTATAGACGTTGATCATCATAAGAATGAATAGATAGCTAATCTTGTCCAAGAGTAGATACATAGCCTATACCAAAGTTCCACAGAAGCTTTGATTATTCCATTTGCACGACAAAATAGCTAGTATTTGCTTTTATCATAATGGCGAGTGGATTTACTAAAATGGCTGCCACTGATAATACTCTTATACAGATTGGAATTTCTACGAATCCAGTGACGTAAGAGTTTACAGTACTTCTACCAAAAAAAAAAAAAAAGAGTTTACAGTACAGGAAGAGATTTTGGTTGAGGAGAGGCATTTTCCTAATAGTGCCAATAGATTCTGGAAAGCAATTTTGAAATGGTGAAAGAAGCCTAATTGTTGCCTGGTTCCTTTAATATAAACTATATACAGATATATAAGAAGCAAATGACGAAGATCCCATGAAGCTCAAAATCAAACCCAGATTACTACCTTCAACATGCTAGCTAGATCTCCATATGTCTGCTCAAATTGGACAAAACGTTTCCACACCTACAAAAACATTTGAAGAATGTCAACATCCCAAAAAGAGTGCTCATGAGAAGAGGCAGCACACAAGCAAAGAGTTCATCAAAAGCAAAAATGTAACCAATTACAGTTCTTTGCTACAAAAGGGGTAACATAATCACAGCGGTTAGTCAGCTTCTTCTAATTAGTTTTGAAAAGGGGTAACATTTCCCTCAGCTACTTCCCCTTTTCAAATTCTTTGATTTTCTGATTTTTCTTCATTGTCCCCATTTGCATAATATTCCGGTAAATATATGAGAAGAGACTTTGAACAGGAGTTTTCTTGCTCTGAAGATTGGTGTAATTAAGCAACTGACAGCGCCACCAAAGTAAAAAATTAAATTTGTTAACTTATGTTGCTCAGTTGCTGATTGAATGCTACTTCTGGATGTAGCACTTCTGGAGTTAGATAATGTGTTCCCTGAGACATGCCTAATAGGCCTATTTTACTCTTCCATTATTCAAGCAAGGGAACTCAGGCATGACATGTTATAGCCGACTTAAGGAAAGATTTGCTTTCAATAACATGGGTAGCTTTTTAAATTATTGCAGCCATGTTTCAGCAACCAGAAAACCAGATCTCCTACATCTTTAAAGGAAACACCTAACAATAGGTGTATCTACTTCTTTGTCTATGACCGTTCTGTCATTGTAGTTGTTGTTTTTCTTTTCTTGTTGATGGGATCATGACCATTCCGGTGTTATGCTCATTTAATTCAGACAATCGAATACAAGACAACAGACCTCAACAGATTTCTCCGGTGGCAGTGAGCTTAGTGCCCGCTCAAATAATGCCCGAATGTTTCTGTCATCATTCAGACGATACAAGAAATCCACATATCTGTCACAAAAAGAGAACTTCTGATGTCAGGTCGTCAACCAATACTACGCATGAAAATTTCAGGAAATCAAAATGATCCCCTGCTTTAGGAGCATCTTTGCATTAATCTTCGGATTCTAGCAACATGCCATGCAGCTAAATAGTACCCTTCTAGCTCTAGATGACTCACCTACTAAAGTATATTGCTGCATAGCCATTTAACTTTAAAATGTGACGTATTACAATGAAGTAGTATTATCCAAAGTAGTTTTCTATGACCCATAACACTGGTCCCACTAACGACGCATAGGTAAGCGACATCCACCTGATTGAAAGATCTAATTCCAGAAAAGAACTGCAGATGACAAATCAAGACCATCTAATTCATGAATGGCTAAGAATGATGCCATGAGCCCCTAATCTAATTCAGCAAGCTTTATTAGCCAAATTCTAGTGCGGTAGCTATATGGTATGAAGAAGCGAACTTACTCAAGAATGTATGCAGGCTCCTGCATAAAACGCTTTAGTCCTGCTTCAAAAACATTATGTGCTATCTGCATAGTTTACAGAACACATATAATGTCAACAAGCTTACTATTTGCAGGTAATGATTCTTCAACAAGCTTGAAACTTGGATCTAAAGTTTTCAGTTTTCTAGTCCTTTGGATGAAAATGAATACCTTTGGATCCTTGTCCAAGCAAAACGCCATCAATGCATAAGCAACATACACCTGGTATGTGCAGTTGGGGGATTTCCTGGCATCTAGGAAGTACTTCCGAGCTGCTTCTACTCCTTGATTCCTTCTTAGAAAGCGAATAAACTACAGAAATAAATAGTTCATTAAGCCTACTGTCAACCTTTTTTATCTGATTTTTCTCTTTACCAATTATTTCCTTTCTTTTCCACTTTTGATGACCAAGTTTGCATTTGATGATACATGATACAACATTTTAAACTCCCCGTTTCTATAAATGATTATGTCACATGAATATATGTTCTGTATTACCTGAATGTATGCAAGTGCATTTGTATTAGCACCATCGCCCAAAAGACTTTCGTATATTTTCCTTGCAGGCTGCATGAAGGAAAGAGTTACTGCATAAAAAACATTAAATGGGGCAGTGATGTAAGCACAACTAGAATGAGAATTTTCAAACCTGGATTGCTCCACGAGACTCCTCCAATTCTGCATAAGCGTATTTCAGCATCTCTGAATCTGGTCATGAGAATCAAGGGAAATAATATTCAAGACGACATAAGAACAGGAGTGGAGCATAAGTGAAGACATTATCCAAATATAGAGCAAATATATCACAAGATATCAGTACAGTAATATTTCGGAGACAGGTTTTGTCGTTTCAACTAGAACAATAACAACTCTCTCATCTTATATACATATAAAAGAATAATAATTACCTGGTAGAGCCTTCAGAGCCCGCTGATATACTCTAATAGCAGCATCTACAGAACCACTTTTAGCATTCCAAGTAGCATAATCATACCATATATCAGGATAATGGTATAAATACATCAGGCACTGGATACAATTCAATTCAATGAATAGTTTATAGCCAACAAAAATCATATTAATAAGAAAGAATTTTCTGTCATAAAAAAGGGCATAAGTAAAGGAAAATTGGAGAGGGACTTGATATAATTCGTTTGAATATAGTGAATTAAGTTTGATTGTTAAGCTAGACAATCAAAATAACTGCTGCATTTCTGGAAGTCGAAACTAGTTCCTGATAGCAAGTAAACCACAAAAAATTAATCTATTTTTATATTCCTTCGACACTAGGTAGAGCAACCAGTTATGCGATACAAAATGGTTTGCATATGCGTTTTGTTTAATATAACGAAAGTTAGTTACTATGGTGACTCGTAGCTCTTCACTGAATAGGTCGAATTTCCAATTTTATACATGCACCATTAAAAAGAATGAAGGCAAAACCAGTTCAGGGAAGCAGAGGAACTATCTTACTTCCTGCAAGTCATCTGATACTTCTACGAAATAATATATACCATCAAGGGAATGCATAACAGTTTACGTGAACAGCAGTCATAGGGAAAAAATTGCCAAATGATACACAACTTACAACACCGTGAACTATATTGGAGAAGATAAATGACATTTCTAGTATTGCCAGTCATAAAAAGAACATTATGAGGTTGGAAAATATACTAAGCCTGTAATAAGGGACAACCAGAGACAAAAGGTGAAGGCAACTGTTTTGAGAAACAGCCAACTGTAATATTGCAAACGGTGAACAAAGGAAACACAATCTGATTCTATTACCTGCTCATAGGTGAATATAATACGCTTATTAGAGGAATCACTATCAATCCTTTGAGGGTTTGTCCTGAAATTAGAGATGAAACATAAAAAAACTGAATACGAGCAGGACTTAAATAGACCAAGAGAAAGCAATTAACAGCTAGAAGCAATCTCTAGTGTGTTTCAAATTAGAAAAAAAGTTCACCTAAACAAAGGCATATAATTGAACTATTAATACTTATGAATGGTTGGGTTTTAGACAAAAAAAAACATGAAAAACATCAAAGCATCAACATTACCATTTTAAACAAAGCAATATTATTTTCATTTAACTACACTAAATAGGAAAAATCATAATGGTCTTTGTCATCTACCTTCGGAGTTTCGGTAAAGCTATGTTTTTCAGTAATAGCACTATTGAATGATAGATTCATACACATGGGTATTATGTAGAATAATGTTAAAAGCAAATGTTCATTGTTTAGTTGATAAACCACCAAGCTTCTATTTGGTACTCTTAAAACAAACTCAATGGCAGTTTCAATGAACAGTTTGACATCATCTTTCTAGGGATGGTTTTGAATGATTTGCTCGTGGAAGGTACGAGCAATTTTATCTCAATTAGGTACTCTTCTACAAAAGCAGCATGTAAAAAACTGTTCATAGTTCATACACACCAATATCAAATAAAACCACGAATGAAATGGTTTTCTTTCTTACTTTTCAAAAGCCAGTAGTCTTCGCCATGCGGTCCATTGTTGCTCTTCCTGCCAAATTATAATAGGTATCAGAAAATGAGAAAAGTGCATACAAGAATAAACCCTGAATAGATGATAACACTTTCATATGTCTCCACCACAGTAGGGAAATATGATATAAACAGGAACTCAAACAATCTTGCCTTCTGAACTCATTGTTCTGATATGCCAATCTTATATTGGCTTAAAACTAATATCACATGCTAGTAAAAACCATTGACCGACTCTATAATACTTTGATTTCTTGATAGTCAACCTGAAGTTCCAGATCTCAAGGAGCAAGAGCCACAAAACACAGAAAAAGGAAAAGTCTGAAATTTTAAGCAACACCCTAAGGTTCCTAGGATAGACTCTGATTTAACATACACTAACATTCATATCAAGCATAGTTCACGGCTTTCAGAAGATATTTGTGTAGGGGAAATCAATAATTTAATACAACAAGTCTAGATCAAACGAAGACAAAGGTAGGGTTTGGAGAAGCCTACAAAATTTCCCAGAGAAGATAACCAAATTAATACTGAAACATTAGTATAATATAGCAAGCTCTCCTGCATATTATGTGCCGATATTTATTAAGTCATTCATTCAAGTGTCAAGTTTCAAGACTGAAGTCAAATGACTTTTTGGAACTCTAAGAACATAAGAGCAAGGAAGTTACCTTGCTAGAGCCAGTTGGCGGTACAGCCAGCATATTCCAATCAATCTCTTCAAAATATTTCTTTCGCTCTCTATATACAGCCCTGGCACTGTTATACTTCTGCTGGAACTCAGATATCAACCCTTTGGCCTGGTTAATTAAAGACTTCCTTATTAGAAAGAACCAGGACTCTACGAAACAAATAATATTTCCGAACACTTTATATACCTCCTTTTCAAATAATAAAAAGCATCAAACACATTTCTATGAAGGAAATAAAGAAATACCAATTGCCGATTGACAGAATTTTCGAAAATTTCATATTCCCTCCAGAGCTGCTCAACATGATGGGTAGGAGTAATAATTGCCCTTTGGTATACTTTACGCAAAGCAATCATTCGTTGTGACTCTTCCTGCCCATGCAGCGCCTGCCATGTTACCTCAAATAAGAACAAGTAATAATGATAAAACAATAATGGGGGAAGTACTCCCGGGTTTGCCTGGTTGAACAAGAAGAGATATGATAAACCAGGATTTAAAGTTCAACATACCGGAAGTGACTTCAGAAATGTTATATACTCCATCCATATAGGCCCAGAGGCAATGTCCGTACCTGAAAATCACAAAAGGCACGTCAACTCCCAATATCACCCCAAAGCAACACTTTTCTGCTAAAGCCAAACATTTACTATTAGCTTTTCCTATTCCGTTAGTTGGTCGCAACAATGACATGTAGCCATAGTTTCTAATTACTAGAGTGTGGAAGAAAAAACAAATCATCCAACTTTCATAGTGTGCGAACCTCCATACAGGATCACAACCTGCTTCACAGAAAATGGCTCCCAATGTGCAATAAGATCGGAGACATAAGTTACAAGACATGAAAACCAAGCTTCTCAATGAAGACATGGACTGATAGAACCAAACGAAACATTGTGGAAATAAGATATTTGAGGATTCTCTGGAAAAAAAGACATACCAACATGACTGAGCATAAAATCAAAAGCTTTTCTAGTTTCTTCTTGACCTTCAGCGCCTTTCTTCTCATTGACTTTTCTGATGAATCGGATGTAGCATCTCCTACGAAATCCAGAATTCTCAAGTTCTTATCATTAAGTCAGGAGTATGCTTAGCAAACAAAATTGGAGATTGTAGAATAAAACTGTAAGAAGGGCTGGCGAGTCCTATAGCGAAATTATTTCCTTTAAGCTAAGGCAACCAGAGGAATATATGAATTTCGCTCACTGCATAGATTAATCCAGAGAAACGTAAACACTGTTAAATCTTATTGTTTCGGGACCAAGAACACCTATTGTAGATCACCATACCATCAAAAAGCGTATCTCAGTTAACCAAATACAAGCTTTATTCATGCCACACTACCGATAAATATCGAACTGCAGTGGAGCAGTGCAACAAGTATTGGATATATATAATACTGGTTGGGGGCACCTACCATAAAGGAACTTGAAGACAATTCAGCAAACACCGGCTGAATATCTGTTTAGTAGCATCATCATTATTAGCAGCCATATTTGCTTCCACGTATTGCTTCCAAAATTTAGCCTGTACGGTAGAGAATTAGCTTCAACAAAATGCATCACACGACAACTTACAGATGCATATCAAGTGCCCAACTAATTCAACTATGGAAAAAACAATAAGGCAAGCATAAACTGCTACTTCAATTTGCTGACATTAACAAGAGCAAGTCCACACAAATATCCCAAATCTATCGAAATAGGTAAGTAAAATCGTAAAATCGAGGATTTTAGGATTTAAATCAGGATTTTGACTACTCTTATTACCAGCATTAACCAAATTCTTTCACATTAGTTCAGTGCAATGAGTAAGACCCAAGGCGCCGTAATCATAACAGAAAGAAACTTCGTCAGCACAATGCATATACAGCTAGCGAGATGCCAATCTCTAGAGGCGAAGTATAGAAGCCAGCAACATGCTGGGTAAGCTAAAACAATAAACAGCAAGCAAACATATACGGGCAATTGCAGTCAAAAGAACTCACAGCTGTGGGGTATAACTGCAGAAGCTGTTCGTATATCGGAGCAGCCTGAGCGAGCGGCAAACGCTACAACATACCATCCAGCCACCAAACAGAGGACAAATTAGGCAAAATATGGATCACAAAGAGTAACTGAATAAAATACAATTGCTTCCGATTCCACACCTGAGCGCTAGTGGCTAAGACTTCCGCGGCCTCGACATTGAACTTTTCAGCGGCTGTCTCGTTTTCCTGATCCTGAATCTCAATTACATCAGCACAATAATGCAAACACTATAATCACTCACAGAACGAATCAATGTCAAACTTACTTTAGTTTCAGGTGCATCCTTCTGCTCGACTGACGACGCCATTGAAGTTCCGCTGCAACCAAACAACGAATTCGTCCGCAGAAGGGCTAAATTGGGATGGAACTGAGAGGAAGTCCGCCTTTTCTATCCTGTATATCGTCTATAAACTCTCCTTCACTGCCAGCTGTAGTCTTCTCGGTGGGAAAGAAACAGCAGCAGCAGCGCGCTTTCGGACTACCGGAGTCAGCACGGAAGTAGGTAGCTAACTTCCGCAGTCGACCGATTCTGGCCGTCGGAGCACCAAAAATAAGGGGCCGAGGGTGAAGAAGGAACGGTGCGGTAGAAAACCACCCAAATTTTGCACGAATTGTCCGCGAAAAAGAAAAATTGGGAAGCGCACGGCCACATTGATTGATTGATTAAATTCAGGGACTAAAATAGCTATTTGGTAATCTAACTTGCTGATAGGGCTGGGAAAATAGACCAGACCGTTAGAAAAACCGTGGTCCAAACCGTACCGCACAGTTTGGTCCGGACCGTAGACCGTGACGTATGGTCTGGTCTGGTCCATGGTCTGTATTATTTTATGATTTGATCTCTTGGTCTGGTCTGGTCTAGACCGCGGTTTACCGGACCAAACCGTAGACCCAACTGACTTGTCAATACGTGTTAACAGCCCATTCGACCACTCTCCAAACTCCCACAACGACACCCAAGTCTCAACCTTAATTTTGTGAATCTCTTCCCTCCTTCATTCACAACCACATTTAACCACAGAGTAGAGATAATCGTGTCTCCATATGACATTATGGTGCAAACTGGGATGCTTTTACTTTGTATCTTTGTTATGTACTAAGATTTAGAGTATCAAAATTATTCATGCATGTTAGGATTAATGTTTTAAGGCAAATAACAATTATTTTTCTTGGTTATTGGTTCAATTTTTTGTGTGGTTGACTAAACAAATTTTTCATTTTTCGTTGAGTGTGGTCTATCTGGACCAGACCAAACCGAACCAGACCGCACAGGCGTGGTCTGGACCAGACCGTATAGTTTGTGGTCTAGTCTGTGGTCTATACTTTAGCCTCTCGGTCTGGACCGTAGACCGTATATATGGTCTGGTCTGGACCAGACCGCACCGTTTCCCAGCCCTACTTGCTGATGTGTCATGTGTCACATACTCACATTGAACTCTCGAAGTAACTAGGGGTGTTCAAACGGTGTGATTACCATGGTAACCATTTTAACCAGTACTATTTGGATAATTTGGTTTGATTAATTTGGATAATTTGGTTTGGTTAAAGTTCTTAGCTTGTTTGATTTAGATGGTTTGGTTTGGTTTCAGACACTCCTAACCAGCCAAACCAAATTAACCAGATAAATAATTAGTCATATATCTAATATATATGATAGAGAAAAAGCGTATATGCCAATTTCCTATGTCGTAGTAAACCGTAAAGTCCGGGTATCGTCTCTTAGGCAACCTTATGATTTACCGATTCTATGGAGCAAACTATAGGTGCAAAATGGTTTGGTTGATGAGATTATTAACTGTAAGCAAAATAATTAAACTAATTAACCAAAGTAAAGTTGTCGGGAGAAATTCAATGGGAGAAAGCTCTGGTAGAAACACCGGGACTCACTACCTATCCTATCCAGATTAATTCACATATTCCAATCAATTTAATCCATATCTCTACAGCGAGGATATCACTACTGTGCTAGCTATCCCTGTCGGGAATTACTACGTACTAAACAATTAAATCAACTCCTACTGTCGTAGCTCAATGACTTAATTATTTAGCCTGAAGATCGATATCCCATTTAAGACCGCATAGTACCTTATTTAATCCACTGTCGCTTCGATAAGTTACTATGTCACATGAAATATGTTCAGTTATTAGGGTTTCACTGTCGCTAATAACCTAATTAACTACAAATCATTGTATTGGTGGCCAGTCAACACAAAGCATTAAGTAATTTCATGCAATAGAGATTGGAAGAAAAGAAATACGAATCAATCCATCAAATCAAGAAATAGCTACATCCTATGGTGTTTCCCCCAGAAATTGGGGTTTAGTTCATGATGAAATTAAGATAAAACAATATGGTTTTGATCATCATGTACCAAATCAACAATAAACAACTAATTTGGTTCAGAGAATCCAACCAACTAATCGCTCTTGTTGAACTCAGCTCAGGCAGCCTTGGAAATCTCGATCGCCAATCGCCGAACAAAGCTATCCGCTCGTCCCAAGCTTTGTGCGATGCTCCTGCTTTCTTTTCTTTTCCCAAAAGTTCCGCCGCCAGAGACAATTCCTCCCCAGCTTTTTTGTGTCCCAAAAAAGAATTTCCCCATAAAAATCCCCCTAGCCAATGCTTTGTGCCACCCTCTATAATTCCGCCCCTCTCTCCATAAGGGCTCGGCCCAAAAAAAAAAAGTATAGTCCTCCCCTGGTAATTGTGTGTGTCCAATTCTCTGTCCCCAGGCCCGTGTCATTAATCCCCATCCAGCTGGGCTTTAAGCCCATCATTCGAGAATTGTTTGCCGGTGCAACTTCTTTTTTGTGTTTTCTTCACCTGTAATACATCAAACTCATGGCACTAGCTAGTAATGGTTTTTCAACCATTCTTGGGTTAGGGAGCCTTAAAATAGCACCAATTGGCTTAAACATACCATAGGATAATCACATAAAGTTCAAGAATCAGATATACTAAAGCCGAATATCACAACCCCACACTCAATTGTTGCTTGTCCCTAAGCAACGACTCAAACAACACAAACACATAACCATCCAAAACAATGACACACCACAGACTCGCCACTAAAAACAAAACAAAAATTTCCTTGTACTCTTGTTGTAATCAGTAGTTTCTTTCTCAAAGGACAAGTTGTGCTATAATGATCATACCTTTCCCCCCACACTCAAGGTCTTTGCAACCCTTAACCATTGACTGACTCAAATCCATCAAAAACTCAAATAGCAACAATCAATTCCGATCGTCGGTAGTGGGTGATTAACAACTTATGATGCAACAGTTATTAGGAGAATCTAACCACATCAGTGAAGTGCATATCTCGTGAGGACAATCTGGCTTACTCACACCAATCATAAGCAATTAACAAAGCATGAGTCTCAAAAATAAATGGGGGAAGCCTTTCGCAAACATGATTTTAACTTTAAGCACATCACTACCTTTTATGACAAGGAGAGGCTTTCTCTCTTTCTGATTTTGCTTGCCGAGTGGTCGTATTTAGTACAAGTGGGATTTGTTTCTTACTTCCGATGACCGAGCAAGAGCAATTTCTGCTTCTTAGAACTCGCATAAGGGCTTCTTTCAACTCCTTTTCCTCGGTCCGTGTGGAGGGTCACTACACATCCTCTAATGGCACTTCACTCAACTAGGGATCGTACTTGATAAGCAACATCGTACGATCGCGAACCGATTCTCAATTGAATCTTTCCTAATCCCCATGTGCAATGAGTGATTGCCTCACACGATTTTGGCATTTTTACCCACACTTTAATTGTTATGGCAACTTTCTTATATTTTACTTGTCAGGTAGGATTTTTCTTTTTTATAAAGATACAGTTCACCCCATCATAAAACATTCAAAATAGAGAGACTCAATGCAAATCAAAAGCTCACAATTGATGCAAGTAAGCACGGTATCCAAACATGTCGAATGGTCAATGTTCTCCACCTAACCACTTCACCAAAAGTCATTACACTATCCTCACAAAATAGAATGTTGCTAATGGAGTTTGCTAATTCAAAGCGCATCAAGTTAGTCAAAACATTCAAGCTCATTGTGAAGAACTATGCAATTCAACACTAGTGGGGGTGATTTTGATGATTTCATTCAAGCAAAAACTCATTTCACACGCATCACGGTCATTTACATCATGTTACCACAAGAGTACAAGGTTTTGTTTTTAATTTTTCTGATTTTTAGGTGTTTTTTCGCCATTAGCTTTGCACAGGAAGACTGCATCAACACAGGCAAACTGCATGCAGTTTGGTTGTGCTCAACCTAATGGCATTTTTATTTATTTATGACAAACACATGACGAGACACTGTGGACAACTAAGACTTGACACCTAAACATAAAACATGACAATAACACAGACCATCCACCCCACACTCAGGATGGACATTGTCCACAATGTCTGCTACTACACACGACACACCAACAGGTTCACCTAGCTAACATTATTACAGACCATCATCCACTACGAGAAGTATTCACAAAGAAAAGAAAAAAAGAAAAAAAAAACCTCGGGACAAGCTCCTATGAAGGAGGGGTCGATGAAGAAGTGTCGAACTTCTCATCTAAACGCTGGTTGAGCTCCTTGATCTTCTTATCTTTCTCTGCGTCTCTGGCTTCCAAGATAGCTATTCTGGCTCTGAGATCGTCTCCAGATGATGGTGAAGCTGGTACAACTGGTGGAGTAGCTCCTGGATGCGGAACTGGAGGTGAATGTAGCTGCTGACTCTGACCGACACTCGTTGTAGAGTGCCCTGCTGGTGCTGGTGCTGGTGATGATGAGCAAGCACCCAGAGGCATGGGTGTAGGAGCTGGAGCTGTGGTCGGAGTGGCTACCGATGGTGTTGGAGATGATGCTGAAGCTGAAGTTGATCTAGCAGCCTTTGCTGCCCTTTTCCGATTGTTTTCAATCTCCCACTCCTTGTATTTGGCGATGGATAGATATTCACCACGACATCCTGCTTTCCTCAGAAAGCCCAACTTGCCTAACGATGTTTCCCCAAGCAGAGTCAATCCCTCACTTATCTCCAAACTCGTAGGGTTCTCTGGTAACCCCCAGTAAGCTCGAGCTAATATAGTAATGATTCCCCCACACATAATAGCTCCACAAGTTTTGAGTGCTTCATTTGCAAGCATCTTACCCACCATGTACCCAACACACAATGGTGCTCTAGTGACAAAACTGTGAATGTACCTGAGATCGGTGGTGTAGACACCACTAGCATTGGATCCCTTTCCCAAGACAGTTCGAGCCAAGTAATCGTGTACTAGTGGGATCACAGGGTCTCGGATAGATGCTCTCCTCGAAGAACTAGGATTGTAGTCCTTTCCATTTGTCACAATTGTCTTCCAAAACTCTCCCAAATCATGTGCTTCATTAGGAATTGCATCTGCTGCACCATCGAAGTAAAGTGCTCGGTTCACTTGGCTCAAAGTGAGGGACTTGGTTTGCCCGACCAAAGTACTCTGAAGCTTGCTCTCCACCCCACTATCCTCGAAGCTGTAGGTGGCCAAGAATGCTCTGGTGAGGTGTGGATAGGTGGGGAAGTGCAGCTCCGGAAATCTTGCCCAATTCAT